AAAAAAATATTGTGCATAGGATGACAATACATCGGTACACAGAAACCCATCTCAGTCGTCTGATAGTGTGTTTGTTGGGGCCAGGGCTTCGACTTCGACATGGTGATAGATCGTCGCCACCGTCCTCGAAGCCGGGCCTTCCTCGACTTCTCGGCGAAGCCGTCCACCTCGTCGCATTCCCCAGAGTGTTTTGTTTGATTCAAAATGATCGAAATGCACGATCATCTAATCGCTGTTCTTCAAAGCCACGGCTCACAGACCGTTGCACAGCCCTTCGGAGTGCCACTCTGTCGAACAAAAAGGATTAGAGTGCGTGCTCAACCTAGTATCCTTTCCTTGTGAGACTGTGAGTCTGAGGCGTCTATGGAAACATTTATAGCGAGGAAATGAAGCGTATCAGAAGACGAGGAAGTAATCTCAATGCTAGAACAGAGAATAACGGGATATCCTGCAGTTGTAAAGCCTAGCTAGGAGATATAAATAATACAGCTTTCTCTAGGCAACAGCCGCCTTCAGGGTACAGTACTAATCGCACACACATTCACAAAAGGGAAAGAATGGTAACATCCACTCGTGAATTTCTTGGATACTTATTGTTAGCAATTTCGAAAAGATTAGATTCAACTTCCAGAAACCGTTAAACAATAAACAATGTTACGTTCCATTCGGGATAGATGGTAACTTCTTTACAATGCAAGCCGTAGTTGTACCGCCACGCTATCGGATACTTCTTTGTTGAAGCAGCCTGTTGTACCGTCAGACTTCCCACTTTCTTCATGGAGCCACGTTAAGCTGTGCAGATTGAAACAACTGAAATGCATGACAATTTTCCTGTACTAGAGGCGGCCTCCGGCTCTTCAGTTTGTAATTTGATCATTTGAAGTTATCCACTAACCTACTGTCATATATTGCTCAAAAGGGTTCAAAACACAATTCTCCAACATCCACCTTGGCAGCTTCACGAAAACTTGCTTGGTTGAGAGGTTACTCATTTCACAATTACTGGGGATTACATCATTTTGGAATCAAATGAAGCACATGATCAATTGCAAATATCTGAGATGAATTGTAAAAAAAATTTCCCATAAACACACTCCTGAAGTAACATAGATATATACCTGTGAATATTTCAATACAATACTACCGGGCTAATTTTTTTGTAGCCCTTCCGGCCTTTAGGCTTATGCCCTTCTAGAGTAAATCATGATTTTGAAGAAAATGAAATGTTTTCGTAGTTCAAAAGGAGTAAGGTGGAGTTCAGTAGATTTCGGAAACAGCAGGTTAACAGCTACATTGAATAAATACCAATGTTGATTTGCACAAATCCGATGTAGGGATAAATACGCTTTACTTGGTTTTGATCTGTGATATCCAGTGGCGCTCAAAAGTATTCGGCCAATTTTAACTCGGCGTAACTTTTTTCTCAATGGAGCGGACCGCATGAAATTTTGATATGTTTAACTGATGCATTTTTCACACTATCCAACACTATTTCACTGCAAAACATCCATATCCACATACTAATGCGGAGGCGCCTGTAGACTGTGCTGAAAGAAAGTTTGTGACGTCTGCGGTTATTCGGACCTTGTGTACGTTTTTCTTCTCTTCTGGGTTCGACATTAGCGCTCGTACACTTAAGACATGGCAAAAAGGAAAGGACTCCTAGAAACACCAGTTTCCCTATCTTCAGTTGGTTTTGATTTCAAGCTCTTTGGGATTTCTGGAACATGATCAAAATGCTGGTTGATAGTGGTATATATTCACACTATACCGGTGCTACACATATTGAAATTTTGCTTGATTAGAACCAGTAGGAATGGAGTTATGACTGAAAATTACAACTGAAAAAACATTTCGCCGAATACTATTGAGCGCTACTATACTTCATGTCTATATTCGCCTTGAGAAACAGGAATAGATCCCTGCACCGTCCAACGAAATGGGATGGTCATTCTCAGTTTATGCCTATTCCCACATCGACATTCAACAACGTAGCTTAGCATCGTTGATTTTTCAGAACTTCTTCAGAACTTCGCCTACCAACTTGCGGAATCTACTCGACTGTTGGTCTTGTCAGTGTCAGTCCCACCGATAAAGTGACATAATCGCCATTACCCAGCCAGTCTCCTCAACCTCATTTCTATTGAATGAGCTGTTTCTACCGATTTAATTTCTCCTTTGCACTGCAGCTCATTCTGTTAAACACTACTCTTTGTCAGTAGTGCTTCCTGACTTGTGCAATCATTGATCTGTTAGATGGCTGATGTGAGCTGCACAGACAACGAATGCAATCTAGTTTATTTCTTCGGTACATTTCAGTACCTTGTCTTACACCTCATATACAACACCAATGATTGACAAAGATTTAATGGGGGCATGGTTAAAACGGATTTTCATCTCACCACTGATGAAATAGGAGAAAGACTCAACAAATCGACTGTTCAAGGGCACTTTTATTGGTCGCTTCGATATTCGGATACCAACATGAATGAGTGGTAGCAATCTACTGAAATTTGTAGTTGGTTATTGCTGGACTGCTTCCCAAAAGCAAAAAAAAAAGAGTGGAAACGAGAATGAGCACTTCTAGAGGAGCTTGATATTGGAATTCAGCGGAACTTTGTGAAACATATCATGAAAATGTGTAAGAGTCTTGCTGAACAACAGCTATTAAAAATTCTACGACAAACATTGGGACGCAAAAATCTCTGCTCAGTTGTTGATGGGTTGGAATAGAATTATTCATCACATAGTTGTCACCGCAAAATCAGATGACCATTTCTAAAATTACTGTTCAAAGCAGATCGTACGATGCCCGTCAAAGTAACAAAGATGGATTGGAGACGTTGTTGCTCACGCCACGGAATCGAAGACCAGTTGAGCTTGTCGTCCTATTTTGAAATTAACGTTGGAGCAGAACGAATACTGACAGGACCACCAGGGATGTCATAGAAACACCAGATCGAATCGTCATCATGGTGGTCTCTTCACAGAGTGGTATACCTCGTGTTCCTCGAGCGAGGAATATCCAGAGGACTACGCTGGCTCGCGAGAGGGACAAAAAAGGACCTTAATGGAGCCCGCTAGATCTAATCGATGATCAACGGGACGACAGAAGATATACATATGATAATGTGTCCAGAACAATACTTCAAAAGCGATAATGGAATTAGAAGTCTCAAATTCAGCCAAACAAGAAGTAAAATGTTCCACGGACAAGGCTAGACCACAAAGACCTATACATTCAGCAAAAATTATTCAAGCGTGGTGGAGGTAATCCATCTCAAATCGAATATATATTAGTATGAACAAGGGAATCATCTGCACACAACCACTTATGAAATCTAGGGAAATTCTTTTCACAGAAAATCGATCAATTCATACCGCAGACAGCTCGAAGAGAAGTTCCTAAGTTCAGTCATGGACGTTAAAGGAGTAGTGATGAAACTAGCGACGTTTCAGACAAAGAAGGCCTGGTATTACTTAACAAGGGATAAAATAAAAATAAGAGGGACACATCCTCAATTAACTCACTTTGAAAATAGGCGGACACTTTTGGCTATCTATTGTTTAGACGCATTTGTTTGTTATAGTCAGCTCTAACTCAGTACTTATGTTTCTATTCCATCATTCTTTGGGATGTGCTTCGTGGTAATATTTTAATCTGAGAGCTGTCCGATTTCCATGCTTTCGGTTGCTGTCGTACTGAAACGCCATAGTCTCGGTAGAATCAAAGCTGTTCAGAGAAGATACTAACGTGCGCATGCGTCAACCGTGGCTGCAGTACTTCGTAGGTAATAAAGAAGTCCAATCAATGAATACAAAGTAAAGTCGCGATGAAAAGTTGTTATAGTCTACCAATAGTAGTGTTTTACTGATTGTTCTCCAAGCAACCAACTCTTGAGCAGGCCTATTTGCCGATAACGGGGACTCTGCCAGGTAACTTTGGACGATGACGTTCGCTACTGCGAACTTTTCCTAATTAGAGCTGTATACATTTGGAAAATGATTCAACTGTTGGACCCTCGCAACCGCAACGAGAGGTTCATGCAACATCTGCATAAGCTCTTCCCCTTTCCTCTCAGATTCAGCCCGAAGGCGTTCTGTATCTTCTGTTCTATTCCAGGAAGGCCCTGAGCCACTCATCTACTCACTTGACTAAATTGTCTATGTACCTATTCAAGACATTATTCATGCACGCAAGAAAGAACAAGTTTTTGCGCACTCGAACTCTACTAGCCGCCCGCAAAGTTGAAAAGAGTAGTTCCTCCGGGATTTAGAGAAGCTGGTTACGATTCCATTGTTATGAGCAACATTGTTCGAGCCAATATTACTACAACACTACTTCCATTCGCGTGGCTACTCCCCAAAAACATGAGATGGAACATAAGCACTGCAGTTGCAACCACTGACTAACTAGAACAGCACCGCTGTTTTGATGTAGCTTTGATCCCAGTGCAAGTGTAAAAGATTGAAAAAGATTGACAAAAAGAAAAGAATGAAACACTTCCATGCAGATTATTTATTCAAAAAGCAATTAGCCGCTTAACTGCAATCTATCTAAATATTTTCTTCGACTACCAATGCAGAAAGTAACCTAAAGTTCTTTAGTCGTGGGCTTTTCCTTCGGAAGAGTCGTCTGGATAGCAGCGATCTGATCGTCCCAAGCTTTCTCGATTTTCGTCCAATGACTGAGCAATTCCTGTAAAGGACCTCAGCTCTGGCAATTCGGAATGGTGGACAAACTTTGAAAATCCTCAGCTAACCCCCATCAGAACCGAAAACATTTGCTTCAACTGGTTCGCGCCAACTTTTCTCAGGAATTGCGAAACCTACGAGGCCCGAAATTCCACGAAAACCAGAAATTTCCTGCATTCTGCTTACCTTCTTTCGCTGTTCACGTCTGTTGAAATAATATGGGAATTGTTCCTTCTCAGGTAGAGTCCACTGTTCATGATCGAGAATCTGAATGGAAAAAGTAAATTCTTCTTATCTGGTGCTTTCCGGCCCAAATAATGCCCGAATTGTGACAACCACAATTAGTTCTATCAGGACTAATTGAAGTATTAGTGAAGGAATTCGATCTATCCTATTTATATAATACTACGACCTATTGTTGGTTACATGTATATTATGAATAATAAAGACAACAATAAGAACAACGATAGATGAAAATAATATCACTTGTTAACATACAACATCGGGAGATTCACGATCGCGATCGTAGCTACTGCCTCCAGGATCCAGAGCATCTGTGAGCAAAAACTGTTAGATCGTTAATCGAGTGAATTGTAAATTTCAATGACAAACTGTTAAAAAGGTAAATCAAAAAGACTTCGAAGGGATCCACTGCTTGTTACTCGCAAGCGGTAGATCCCTTCGTCCCTTATATAAAACCCATTTAAACGTTCAAATCCATTGCAGCCTCACATCGGAAGGGTTTGAAATGCCGTTTTTCCCATAGCTGTCGGCAACCATCGGCAAGAAGATATTGGCTTTTGCGAGTGTCCTTCTCATCCTTGTTTGCATCAAATCTAGCTCGCATGATCACTTTTTGATAACGTACTTCCAAGCTGAAAAGGAACTTACAATGGTACGCATTGGAAAGATTTAGAAACTGTAAAAGTGGCTGAATTAGATTATGAAGATGTCGAGCAAATCCATCCTTATAAGATTAAGAAAAAAAGGCGTTGGTTTTCTAGGTGGTCAATGCCTCCACGGAACACCACGAAATTCTCGTAAACTACGCACAAAAAGCGCTGCGGGTACCCAACACCCTGAATAGGCAGTACAAGAACGTTTTGAACTACAAAATGAAAAATAAACCACATCGAAAAACTTCGTCTCGGCAAAAGCTTGCTCAACAGTATTCGATTGGCTCACAATAAGCTATTCCAACGTAACCGTAAATAACTTTTCACTTTTGACGAACAAGGACCTGAACTGAGTTTAGGTCGGCCAAAAGAGGTGCTACAAAAAAGATAACTAAAAACTCGATTGCTGTACAGACACGAAAAGAGCTATCGGGTTCCCTGACAGCAGTGAAACCTTCAGTTGACCGACGCTCGATATGCGGACTGAACGCAACGCACCACTTTAGGGGGCCAGGTAAAATCCGATGTTCGTAGTTTTGCCCTTGCGACGCCTCAACTTTCCCTGTAAAGAGCTCTCCTTCTTTTCATAATGTGACAGCAATGTCGATTGCTTCGTATAGATAGACATGAGTAAACAAATCCCGTGATACCAACCACCCCTGGCGTTGGTTCCCGCCTCCGAGGATGGTTGAAGCCAAATGCCGCCTGGAGAAGGGGTAAGGTGTTTTCATAGTCTGCAAGGTGTCTATTCATAATCCGCGATGATCAAATTGCAAATAGTGTGAAGCATAGCAGCGATTTCAAATTCAAGACAATAAAGGCTAGTGAGAAACAGATATTCTAAACTAATCAGAGTTGAGAAACTGACGAAGGTCAACAGAAAGTGCACAGCAATTTGCTGGAATTATCCAGGCTTTATGTCTTCGCTTACATCCTCCGATGCGATCTACCGACACTGTGTTCCTCCATTTCGAGTGTGGGACACTGATATTTTCATTTTAAACAGTGTTTTGTGATTATCTAGTCATGCTTTTTTTTTGTGGGTTTTGGACGGCAGATGCAGATACTCATTGGTGGGATGCAGGTCCTGTTTACATTTATTCTTGTTTATGTTTACTTCTGAGTAATCCTTGTGCTTCTTTTGTTTCCACTCTCTTTTTATTCCCTTTTGCTCTCTAAATTACTGATCTCCATCGGGTCGGGCATGTCATTTCAACGTATAAATCAAAAAAAAAATCGGAGAAATGAGCAGGCAACAGAGCCATCCAGCGAGCTACGGACTATCGATCACTTACTATGCAGTCAAAGAAATTGGATTTGAGAATGAACGAAGTAGCTAACAGTAAGATGGTCGTGAGATGGCCAGTTGGTTCGACCAGGGACAGAACTCCCTACATTTCAGCGACCTCTTTACTAGATCACAAAAATAATTTCAATTGGCATGAAGAGAAATGTGGCTGGTTGGTTGCTTTGATGCATGATCTTTGGCAGTATAGCATAAATGACGGGTTGGGAACACGAGCACATCTCAGAGTACAATCTGCATAGTTTTAATATTAAAAAGAAGCCAAATCAAAATTCGCCAGTGAACCACCAAACAGATTATAACTCTACTGACAATTGCCACTCGATGTCGTTGTTAAAACTCCTTCCAGTTTTATTATACGCCTAGTCAATCAGTTACGGTTACTTAGTGGAATGCATACGCTACTATGCCAGCACAACAGCAACTCCATTCACAGAATATGAGTGCCTACAGAGGGAAGTTGAAGAAAACTCAACCCGTTTTTGTGATAACCAAAAATTACAGCGTAATTTCAACATGTAGCAGCAGCAATGATTTTGCTAAGTTGATCAGAAATACAAAACCCACCAGTCACCTCCATACCAATTGTCGACCTCTCGTAGAGCTTTTTTGTAGAGACGACACACTTTTTGACGGTGTGATAACGCTTTGGTAAACATCCAAGCCGGAGACTCCATTTCGTTGAGCCGAAAAGAAATAGACGTCGAGAGTTTAAAATAATATTACCGCAGAATCACGGTATACATGCACGGTACATTCAAGACTTTCAAAACTGATAAGAACATTCGCCGAGAGATTTCAATAAATACAGACACGCTATATTACCTATTCGAGTGTAATTCTACTTTAAAAGGATATCTTAACTTCTTCGACGTTTACCGTCAAATTTTCCCCTTGGAACTCATCTTCCACAAGCTTCAACAGAGAGTTCACAGAGGCGGTAACACATGTAAGTAGAGAAATGCGGAAAGCATCAAAGTACATATGTTCGACACTCAATAAATCTTGGCATGGCCTTGAATAAATTTATCAAAGTACACATATCTGGATTCTCTTAGTTTATACGGTTCTGGAACCCTTATTACGCCCTACCTTCTTTAACCCGACAACGTCCCATAGGCTTTGTGGGTCATAGGTTCAGAAAATGGACAAAGCTCAGTTGCCATTTTTATCATGAAATGTGCCTTTAACAGATGCGTTACAGTGTGGAGAGGATATCCGACTTCACCTTACTGAAAAATGGTTTTAGCCAAAGAAATGTAGATTTTAAATAAGGGATCTAAGACAGCTGAGCGATTTCCGAGGAAAATGACATAGAGAATTAAAAGGTTCCTTTAACTGAAAAAAGTCGATCACGATCGCTTGTCAGAGGCTACTCAGCAGTTTCTCACCTCTCTTCCCCCCTCCCACCTCTCCCGAACTGCACTTTCAACGGAGTGCCTCTCTTTGAAAAAAGAATGATTTGCTATCTCATCTTATAAAACTAACTGCACCACACTGAAGACGAGTCAGGAGATCACAAGAAAGCCTTTGCTACCATCGAAAGAAGATAGCGGATTACTGAAACAACACTATTAGTCAGAAAGGAACAAATCACGAGGATATCTCGAGGGTGGCTTGCACAAGTCAATAAGATTTGGCGTAAATTCAATGGTGCTATACGCAAATATTCTGCGTCTTCACTTCGTTACAGTAAGAAAAATAGCAAAAACAGTTATCGATATTGACAGCGCCGCTATCAGCTGTTCGTCTTCAAGGGGTTTGCTCTGAGAGTGGTCCATCTCGATCCCTGAAAGGGGATCATTTCCCACAGCCGCTGCAATTATGGAAATCGACGGTGACATTATTCATGATGTCAAATCCAGCCAAACAGCATCAACTTCTACAGCGATGGTAGTTCCAATGTATCATAAGGTATTCCATTTATTGTTTTCATTCTTTGAATTGTTTGTCGGTTCACAAGCGTCCTAATCTCTCAAATGCAGCGAAGAGTGAAAGATCATGTAACGCCGTGTATCGATCCTACCTCGATATGTGTGCACCTACTATGATTTCAAGAAGTTTCAAATAAGTATTTCTCTCCAGTTAGTCCAAATCTGTGCTTTTATCTTTTAAATTGGCTAAATAACCGGTCACAAAAGTATAAGACTCTGCCTACTTGTACGCATTAGCTGTTGAGGTGAGATTTGACAGCTAAAGATTAGAAGCCCTTCGCCCAAGACCATCGGGAAAGACCGATGGTCTTGGGCGAAGGGCTGCAGAGACTGCATGGAAGGTTGAAGAGTTATATTATAAAACAGCTCAGTTTAAACATAAAAACCTTAAAATTTACGAAGTCGCTAGCCATCGTATTTTTTTCCGCCCTTGACGCAAATAAGGCCCTTGTTACCCACATTCACCGAATTCAGTCCGTTCTGCTCCGAAGTCTAAGGCACACGAAATAGCAAGGTTTGTTGCTTCCCGAAACTAGAACTCATACCGCCCTACCATCAGTGAGGGATAGGGTGGAATACGCCACAAAACCTAGATTAGATGGGACAGGATTTTCTCATTGCCGACTGCAACGACTGCCTTACATGGCAGAGCGGGCACATTGGTTACCTGAACGCTATCTTTTTGGCTGTTTTCCGGTAAACAATAAAAAGATCTGTTGAATCGAACAGCAGGTCGCACTAAGTTCTGACTTGAATGGAGGCCAGTCTTCTTTTGTAAATAGGACATAATGAACGCTTACTGTACCAGCGAAGTCAGCCACCATTCCTCTCCAAGGGGTTCTCTCCTCATCAAAAATTCTTTGTAGTGAAGATTTTACGTGGTGGTCCCACAAATTGTCACGTGCAATATTTAGAGCTCTGTTCACAGCCGCCTTCTGCTTACTCAACTTGCCGAACTTCGCGACGATTCTCGCTTATGTGATGTGGCTCTCGTCGTTAAGGTTGTTTAACCTTCATGGGGGGGGGGGGGGGGGGGGNATAACAAATGTTCCAATAACAACTATCCTCACAACTAATTTATTAGAAAAATTGAGCAAGAATTCATTGCAAATCTTAATTTAATTTAGAATTTAGAACTTATAACTGACATATTTATATTTCCATTTAAGAGTGAAATAAATTCCAGGGAACACGAATTAATGCTCATCGGCTTGTACTTACGGCATGTTCAAATTATTTCAAGGCTATGTTTACTAACGAAATGGCTGAAAGCAGATTGCGTACGTTCATGACTTTTAACGCAAGCCCATGACAAGCTCCCCTATTGTTATTCAAATTCCTTTAGTTTTCCATTTTTTTGTTTTTATAGAAGAAATAGAAATGGTGGATATGGAAGCCTCGACACTTGACGCTTTAGTCAATTTTTGCTATTCCGGTGAAATAAAAATAAGTGATGTAAATGTGCAAAGCATTCTTCCCGCTGCTTGCCTGCTTCAGTTGAATGAAGTTCAGGTTAGTCTGCCAACATTCAACACATTTTCCATGCTCGAGTGTTTACCTACCAGAAAAGTTATTTGCTCAAATATTCATTTTATTTATATCCTGCAGGAAGTATGTTGTGAGTTTTTGAAAAAGCAACTGGATCCGTCGAATTGCCTGGGAATACGAGCGTTCGCCGATACTCATGCATGTCGAGAGCTTCTCCGCAGTGCCGACAAATATACCTTACATAACTTTCAGGTGATTATTTCGTTAGTCCAGGTTTTAAAATGCCATACTTTGTTTCAACTTTCAGGATGTTGTTGGTACTGAGGAGTTTCATTTGCTTCCCGTCAACCAGCTAATTGATCTGATTTCAAGTGAAGAACTCCATGTGCGATCGGAAGAGCAGGTGCAAACGAAATTTCCAGGACCAATGCCATTCTTTTTTACCTCTTATAAGTGATGAATTATGACATGATTTATTTATGAGGTTTCCAGGTTTTTGCAGCAGTAGTTCAGTGGGTTAGGTTTGATCTGCCAGCTCGGAAACAATATCTATCAAAAGTAAGGTTTAACGACTTTGTTCATATCTAGCGATTCTTCATGCGTTAGTTTTTCAGTTGTTGGAGCATGTGCGACTTCCACTTTGTCACCCGAAATTTCTCGTCAGCACTGTCAGTGAGGACGCCCTAGTAAAAGCTGATGCCGCATGCCGAGATTTGGTCGATGAAGCTAAGGTTTGTGGTATTCAAGAACTCATTTCAATCCTCGATGAGCACAAATGATGTTCCTTAAAATTTCTGTGTTTCAATTACCGGTTTCCAGAATTACTTACTTTTGCCGCTCGAGCGACCAAATATGCAGGGACCGCGTACCCGACCGCGCAAACCGATCAAGTTCGGTGAAGTTCTATACGCTGGTACGGTGAAACTACGCAGTTTTTCTTACCTTCTGACTTTGTATAGCACCGTACTACTTTCGACCCTTGGTCGTGCATTAGATGGATATCGGGGCTGTGAAAAGAGATGGTGGGACTAGGAGAAAATCGAACGACCGTATTTTGTTGTGCTCTTCATTTTGCTACAATACACACACAATCAGATAAACAGATGCTTCCAATGTGTTGGGGCTTTTAGTTTGTCTATCAACCTATATATTTATCAACTCGTATAGTCTTTTAACTTTCAGTAGGAGGATGGTGCAGTGGGGATGCTATTGCTTCTGTGGAACGCCTTGATCCCGGCAAAGCAATCCCTGTCTGGCAGTGTGTTGCTCCCATGAGTAAGAGAAGGTACAGTGTTCCTTCAAATGCACGTCTGTTCTCAAAGGCACAACAGTCTTCTGTAGATGTGGCGTTGGCGTTGCTGTTGTCGATAATCTGCTCTACGCTGTTGGTGGTCACGACGGGCAAACGTACTTGAATAGCATCGAGAGGTGATTAATTAATTATGTGGAAAGAGTCTTTCAAGATTGTGGCAAGCTCACTCCCTCGCGAGCTCCGTTCTTGACCTTGTTTCTTGGCAATAGTTTTGCTGTTTTTCTAGCCAGCAAAATTGTCATTTGAGATGCGCTGGGTTGTAAATGATTTCTTATTTACTTGTTCGGTCTTCATTTGACTGTAAGAAACCATTCCAACATTTGTTTATGCTTAGTCTATTATGTATCAGTATAGATCCTTAATCTTTCGTGGTAATAGCTTCGAAGAAAGTTTCAGATTTGATCCTGCCACTAATCAGTGGTCATGTGATGTTGCACCAACCTCGACATGCAGGACGTCAGTTGGTGTGGCTGTGCTTGATGGTTTTCTTTATGCCGTGGGTGGCCAAGATGGTATCAATTGCCTGGACGTGGTTGAACGGTAAGTGAATATCATGGTCCGTACGATATTCATTTGTATAGTTAACCTTGTAATTGTAGCTATGACGCTCGTCGGAATGAGTGGACTTGTGTTGCACCCATGGGTACACGTCGGCTTGGGGTTTCAGTCTCTGTGCTTAATGGCTGTTTGTACGCCGTTGGCGGATCTGATGGACAATCACCTCTGAACACTGTTGAGAGGTGGGAACAGCTTTGTATTTTTAGAATGGCATGTGTTTTGAACGGATCTCACAATATCGCATGAGCAGTACATACATTCTTTGAGAGGCTTCACATGTCCTCTGCACAGGTTCAAAAAAATTGAAATTGAAATGTAGTCCAATATTCCAGGTTGGACCCTCGGGTTGGTAAATGGGAGGTGGTTCGTCCGATGTCCACACGACGGAAACATTTGGGATCTGCTGTGTTCGATGGCCACTTGTATGCTGTAGGAGGTCGAGATGACTCATGCGAACTAAGTTCGGCTGAGAAGTACAACCCTCTTACCAACGAATGGACTGCGGTGGTCGCTATGAACAATAGGCGATCTGGTGTAAGTCTGCTCAACATGTACTTGATTACAACAATTCACTCCAATATAGTTAACCAATGATATAAACGCGAGAAAATGCAGGTGCTGTCAATTGTAGGTGGGCTTAGCTGTTGTCAACGAGAGGTTGTACGCTGTTGGAGGTTTCGATGGGACTACTTACTTGAAGACGGCTGAAGTTTTTGATCCTGAGGCGAATCAGTGGAGGCATCATGGTTGCATGAATTACCGGTTAGTTGTGAATTGTAAGCCATTCAGCATTGCCTTCATTTCCATGTGATAATTGTTACGGGAGTGATAACTTCACATTTCTAGACGGCTTGGAGGAGGTGTCGGTGTTATACGCATGCCCTATCAGTTCCAACAACAGCAATCCGGATTTGATCCCGGGACAGCAACATCATATTCGCGCTCCCACTTCCCAGCTGATCTCGGATGACGCTTTGCTTATAAGAAATGTCGTGAAGAATATCTGAATTTCGGATTTCTTACCAACAGTTATGGGTTCTCTTTGCATGTTTTTACAGTAAAACTGTGCATTTGGTGATAGCTTCGCATATTTTTCCATAATAATTCAATAAATTATATTTAAAGCGGTTGGAATGCACAATTACGTCTGAACTAGTCGACAATGTGGATTCACGAAGCGTTTGCTTCAAGTTTAGCTTAGAGCGACCTTCTGGCATTTCGATCATTTCTGATGTTGAAATGCGTCGAACTCCGTCCGACACTGAAATATTGGTCCAATTCCTGAAAATGAGTTGGCTGTACACATAAACAATAGCGTCGTAGAAATGGTTCAAATGAATGGTGAGAATCGCTAGGGTTTGGAATGTAAAACAACCTCATTGGTTTACTCACATCAATCTCTCTTGTTTATAAAGCAGTAACTTGGTGTGTCGGTTTTTGTGATTGACTGCGTCTCGGTTTGTCTGTCTGTCCGTCCGTAAAATTTTATGATTACTGAAAAGGTAGTGATATGAAGAACCCAGCTCTATTCTACATTTTCTTAATTCAAGGCAGTAAATTGGTAGAGGNACAGTTTTTTGTCTCCAGCTTCAGGAGATAAGGAGCATCAGGGTGGGTGAGTCAATTGGATATTCAACTCTTACCCCTCCTAGCTTTTTGCACGTGGTAATCATCTCACCCCTACCCCGGCGCACAGGTACGTCGACTACCCTTCCTCCTGTGCACTCAAGCCATCAATCTTGAATGAAAACGATGCCCCCTATTCTAACTACACTTTTTAATTGAAGGAATGAGGCTGGCGTAGCCTAGCGACCCGACTGGTAGCAATACAAACGAAAGATAAACAAGCAAGTTGGTGGCCATTCTTACGATTCACAACGACTTTATCGGTTGAGCAGTGTAGCAATACTCCTTGGAAAATGTAGATCGAGATTTGAACCATTCATTCATTCCCGTTCCCTTAACTTCGTTAATGACGACTGTTGAATTTCTGGTAAAAAATGCAGTTGTTAAGGCATGGTAAAATAGGAGCTAATGCATGTTCAGGTGGCCAAGCGACGCTCATTTCGTCAAGCAAGACTATGGTATT